TTTAAATTTATCATCCTTTTAGAACATATAAAAATCTTTTTTCTTTTTCTTTTTTTTTTTTTTGAATAAAGTAATTCATCAACTCTTCGGACGAAGTTAAATTGGAAATTCTTTTTTGCGATCCTCTTCTATAAATTCTATTACATCTTTCTAACGCCAACGAGTACGCCTGTTCTATCGTAATAAAAATATCCCTTTTCGATTTGTGTCTACTCCCTCTTTTATATAATTTGTTATGAAACATCCAATTGCGATAAAATACAAAATAACAAGTTTTCTTCGACATTTTTCTCTTCCTACAATCGTTAAAATTTCCTGTCGAAATTTAATCAAAGCACATCTTTCTTCAATAAATGCCGACCTTGTTACTGCGTACCTCGTAACCTACAGAATACATTATCCTCTCGAATCCAATACTATCCAATAAAGATTATACCTTAAACATCTTCAACAAGAAGAAGAAGAATCTTCCTTATCTTCTTCTTCTTCGTTCTTTATTAAAAATTTAATCAATGAACATCTTTCTTTAATAAAACAAAAATTCTTGGATCGTTGTCTTATGGAATACATTAATCCTTCAAATAAATCCTCGATAAAAAAAAAAAAAAAGAACCTTGTTCAGAAAAGAACCTTCTTCAAACAAACACCCAAAGTAAAAGTTTTCTCATCGCAATTTCCATCCTTGTCTATTTTCCAATCGACTCGAACTTCATTTTTTCCCATACCATACCAATTTCCTTCGAGCTGAATACCAAATGTATATCGTTGGGTATCTCTCTCTCACTCTCTCTCCTCCGACACCGCGTATCACCAAGTCCGAGAGGGTTGGACACGGTCGAATAAGCGTGGTATCCAAGGTGACAAGCAATTAGCAAGGTTATTTGATGGGCAAACACCTATTAACCATTCCGAGGTGGCAGAGAGAGGGGTTGGGGAGGAGGGTGGATGTCAGGCGAAGAGTAAGTAACCGGGACTTTGTTAAGGTCACAGTCTAGACTCAGAGATTGTACACAATCGGTATTGTACCCCAATTTCTTGTCAGATATTCCAATTATGGAATAATACCGAATATTCCATGGATGGAATAATCGAAGCGACACAAATATCTGTATCGACGGTTATAGTTACATATACATCGTCGAAGAACGTAAAAATTAGAAGTGGTTGGTTAATCTCGAAAAATTGTACAATTTGTAGAGATACTCGATATTCAGATATTTTTACCATCCGGAAAATATCGCGTGTGAGACATAAATTGGGTTCTACGAGCTTTTGGAATGAAATTCCAAAAATTAGATATACGCGATAGGGAGCGTGTATTGGTATAATTTTATCCGAATTATTACCTGGCCACTTTCAGGCCACTACATACACGCTTTCTAAAGCGTGTATAAATGTGCACAAGTATGCGACAGTGCAGGGTGTATCGAAAAAGCGATCGCGTTCTAATTTCCATTCTTTGACGCTGAACCTCTTCTTCTCCATTCATATTTTTACAAAAAAGAAAGAAAGAGAAAAAATTAAATTATTCTTCGAGGCATTTTTATCGGAAACGAAATTCTCCATTACAACCAATTATCCAACCTCCACCCTTTTTCCAATATTACACCTAACATTATCATCCACCTTCGATGATCGCGCTTCCTCCACCTTCCATTTTAGATTATTAACTTTTTCAAAAATTCTCTTTTCGTACTTTCAGAGAAAGAAGATGTAACATTCCGCGTTAAAACTTGTTGACAACTCGTCCTTTTTCCGTTTCGTTTTTAAAATGAAAAATTATTCAAAAGGAAAGCCGGCGCGAGCTTTCATTTCGAAACGCGGACTGACTTTTCTTTCAATCCATTCCTTTCGCGCTTTTAATTTTCTCTGTCACGGAACATTTGTTACGGCTTACTTTCTTCTTTTCAACGTTGTTAACACGATTCGCGATTAAGCAGGGAATTTTAACAAGGAGCTTATTTATCGTATATTCGAATAGAAGAAATCTTCGCGGGGGTGATTTTTAAACAACAACAATTTCCACGCCGAGTAGAAAATTTCGGTACAAATGCTTGGAAGAAATTTGCGGTTGTTAGGTGAGGATGTGGAGGATTTTTAAGAAAGAGAAAAATGACAGGATAGATATTTTGCCCCCACATTTTTCTCACGCTTATAATCAACTGGGATATTAAGATAAAAAAGTTGTGGAATTAAACGTGAAAAAAAAAAAAGAAAAAAAAAAAGTCGAGGACGATGTTCAAAGTCTTTATGTATTTTTTTAACGAGCATCTTGTAATAAGCCAAAAAGTGGAAGTTTTATGAAATGTAGGAAAATAGAACACGGTTGTTAAAAGTTTGGAACAAGGGTTTTGATTATATGTATATACGATACACAAAGTTTTACTTTGAGTTTGAGCGTAATTATTACGATGTAACGAGATTCTGGGATATTTTAATTAATCCTTTGTGCGATTTAATTGTTCCACGATAGGAGAATTAAGAACTTTCGACATATCTTGGAACACTTCTTCTCGGATATTGGCAACTTTCAAAATTCTAAAATTCCTCTTATGAAACTTTCCTTGAAATTGGAAGCTCATAAACTTTTCTTCAATATTTGAGACTCAAAGTTTCGGAAATTAATATTCCTTGAAATCTTACCACTTTTTCCTCGATATCGAAAATTTTCCAAGCGTTTCAAAATTCTTTTCTTCTTTCTTTCTTTTTTTTTTTTTTTAGCACTTGGAACTGCCAAAGTTTCCCTCCAAGAAGAATTCTTGGAATATCGGAAATTCTTAAAAGTTTAGAATTTTTTCTTTAATATTAGGAGAATTTTTCGTTTTCCGTTGCAAACTCTTGAAATCTTAGACTTAGAAAATCAAAAAATTTCACAACTTTTTACAATTCCTCTTGAAAAAATTCTGAAATGTAAATAAATTTCAAAGATTCTTTCTCAGCCAAACAACGCCACATCCAAATTCCAAACTGAACAGAATCACAAATGAACAAATAATATAACCGTCTCGATTTGCATACGAAAGCGAATACGGTTTCAAAGAAACAGAGTCATACTCGACTCTGTAAACGCGTCGCACGATGGCATAAAGTTATCGGGAACAATGGACATCCGATTTCCGGTACGGCCGCCATTCACCACCACCAATTTGGCCCCCGTTAAATTCTACGGTTTACAGTTGCGATCGATTAACGCTCGAGAATGGTTTCAGGTGTAATGAGTTATCGCGATTTGATAGTTCATAAAATTGATTGTCCCCCCGATCGATCGTTCCCAACAAAGTTTCAACATCCGACGGCCACGGCCTTCGTTGTGTATTCGTTTTAATTGCGCGCGAGAGAGAGAAAGAGAGAGAGAGAGAACGTGCCCAGGATGTAATTATTTTAATTTCGCCGGGAAATCGGCAAGCGGAAGTCAAAGAGTCATCGATCGGATCGGATGATCGACGGTCGATAATTGAAAATCTGCGTTTGGAGAAAATTTGGACCGAGGATCACGGTGAAGGGAATTTGTTGGTTTCAATTTTGAGTTTTTCACGAATAATTTTCAATTGCAAATGTATTCGAATATTTTTAATTTAAATAGATAGATCGGAAAAGAATTTTTCGAATTTGTCCGAAGAAGAAATATAATAATACACGTAATATGACACAGAATATTTACCGAATGTAACTTTTCAACTTAATCTAATCCGATCTCAAGTTAATTAACGAATCGAGCGCGAGACGAGAATATCAGGGTAATACAATTGTTGCTGTCAGACTAAAATAAATCGAGGAATCCGACAAGCGAACCGGGACGAAATTAAGATTAAATTGAAATAGAATTATATAGGATAAAGGATATGGAATCGCGTAATTTTGTATAGTTATAAGCGATGAAGACGGGGGAGAAAAAAAAAAAGGAAAAGAAAATAGATAGGATGAAAGATTGTAACGAGGTGAAAAAAATCTAGGTCATTTGGGGATAAATACGCGAGCTTCTACCCTATGCAACGTCGAACACGATGGGATAGGTGCCCGTGCTCATTTTCACCCCTTTAAATTTACACACTCTCGGTCATGACAGGGGAACATGGGCCGTGTAACGAAATTTCGCGCTCGGCGAAAATGCACAGGCCCGTCCTTTTATTGGAAACGAAATTCTCAGGCCAGGCTCTCGGGGCTTCCCCAATTCCCCGTACATTCTCGTTCGTTGTAAATCTTTGGATACCCAGTTGTTTTCGATTAAATTCTTCGGTATCGTCTACATTTTTTTCTTCAATTTTAACTATTAATATTATCTATTAATATTACTCAATAATTTTAAGTTCAATCTTGACTAAAAGGATGCTAACTGGGAGTATCGACTGAAAGGATTCAATTAGTTAAAGATAAGTAATAGAAAAGAAAAGTTTGAGATCATAAATCACAACAATAATAACGCGTATATTAATAACGAGATAACGTTATAACCATTAATATTAGAGAGTAGTAAGTAGATTAACTGATAATAAAATAATAATAATTTTATCATTGTTGTATAATTACAACACACAGGCAAAGTATATGCAATTATCAAAATTATCAATTATTAATAATTTCAGCCTATAATGCGATATAATTTATGCAGATTATTCATCGTCTGCAATATTAATAATCACAACATTATAATAAATCAATTAATACACATATCCATAATAATAAAATATTAACAATAATCTTATAATCACACATAGAGATAAAGGATACACAATCACAGATTACAACAACTATCTCAACGATATTTATAACACTAACAACAACAATAAAATACTCGTTAGCATATTTTACTGCTCTCTCTCTCTCTCTCTCTCATAATTACACGTACGACTATTTATCCGATCGATACAACGAAACGATCAAAGGAATAATCTCGAAGCTTTCGCCTCTCGTTGCATTCTGTTCAACGGACGGACTCTATTCGGTCAAAAGCGCGGATGGTGCAGGCGATGAACTGTTTCGGAGGAATAAATCGTACTCACCCACGTGGAAGGCGATGAGGTGTCGTAATTCAGGATCGACCCCGAGCCGAGACCGTCTCGATACGTCCTGGTATCCGAGCTTTTGGAGAAATTGGTCTTGTATCTCGAGCGGTTTCTCGTGAGGAGCCAACCTCCTTCCGGATTCCCCTCCGTACTGAAAAACCCCGCGTAATCTCTTAATGGATCTTATTATCGGCTCGGTTATCTCCGATCTTGTTTACATAAAAGGGAAAAGTAATTTCCTTGGCAAGGGACAGGGCAGCAATTTGTAAAGGTTCGACGAGGAGGATTTGTTTGCGGGATGGAAGAGTCTCGAAGGTGATGATCCTCCCTCGTTGGACTATTTGGAAATTTTCTAATCGATCAACTCTTCCTTTAATGAAAGTTAAATCTCAACTTTGATAATTTCGAATCAGAGAAATCGAAAGGATCAATTCTCTCCTTTGAGCGGTTCAACTGTTCGAATGTTTCGTTTATTTCAATATTTAATATCGGACAGAGAGAGAAGAAACGTATCTGAAATTTATATATAACACGAACTCGTTATAGGACGAGGGGAAAAAAAGAAAAGTAAAGATAAAAGGCAAGAAGAATCGTATTTTCTCTCTTTGGCCAGCGACGTTTCGAACGACCAGATTTTCGCGTGTAAATCTTGCCGAGCTAATTAAGCGAGACGCCGACCGCGTTCCATCTTAATTTCGACGACGAGGGAGGGGCGATATTCCGGTGAATATTTTCCGGATCGAGCCTCCCTTTCATCTTCGGTGATTAAAAAACATTTCCAGCGCCTCCACGCGCCGGTTATCGAAACTAATAACGATCGTGCAACACCAACGTGATGGACGAGACTTGATAACGTATTATTTCGAACGAATGGATCGTTTTAACAATTTACAAATAAAAATGGATAAAAATCTCGAGAATTTTTCTCCCGCATTCTGTTCTATTCTTTCCTTAACATTCTATTTCTTCGTTTCGTTCTTCCATACTTTTTTTTTTATTTAAATTAAAGAATATTCACAGTCACGGTGTTTCGTTTATATTGAATTATTCATTTCTCCATCGTTCAAAATGGATCTTTGGATGGCTTCTGATCTAAGCCGAACTAACTAAGCTAATTATTGGATAAACTCGAGAAACAATTCTTCTTTTTCAATGATGTTCAACATTTCCACAATGATTCGGTGATGAAGTTACTTAAATAATTTGAAACGCATAATAATAATAATCGCGAACATTTATACTGGCAGAGGAAGAATTCATTTTAAATAAGCGAAGAAGCAAACTTTATTCGAAATTTTTCAACCAAGACTCAACTGTCCACCAACTCCTCTACAACTTATTTTCAACTGTCGCAACAAAAACCTTTATTCTCTGGTTAATTCAAGATTTATCGAGCGCAGTCTCAAGGAAGAATAAATTTCGTTGTTCGAATCTCGCCACGCAATGGAATTCCATCCATCGTTTTAATTAAAATACGGGGGAGGGAACAAACGTTCCGTCACAATTGCCTCGAAGCATTATCAAATTCTCAAATGGCGGGCATCGACTCACGTCGATCGAAAACCTATTAAACATCCAATTCAAACCTTTCCCCAAACCAATCCCGAACTCTGCATCGCTGCTGTTTACGACTTCCGTTTTACTGTTTCCCGTCGGCCAGGAAACGTTGGCTCAAAATTGGCCACGCGATCCACCTCCAATTGATTGAAACGCTTGATTTTTCGATATCCAGCGTACCAATATATTTGACTTTTACTTTTTCCAAATGTGTAATTCTTTGGTGACCGAGAGTAAAAGTTACTCTTGAAGGGCCACTGTCGAAGTTCAATCGGGAAAAGAATTGGAAATTCGAGAATTTGAATTGAAAATGGCAGATCTTTTGAAGAGCGATGGATAGGACTTTTTCTCAATGTCCATTGAAGAGTGATGACAGAGAGCGATAAAGGCGAAGAGCAACGATGTTACGAATTTTTAATTTCAATGCAGCGTGAAAGAACAGTTAGAGAGAGCGTTTATAAATCGACGAGTAATTCTTAGTACGCTGGGGAATTTGAAAATGGAGTTTCAAAAACGGAATCGTCGAGCCAAAAGATATTAGAATCTATCTTTCGTTCTCGTCAACACTCTCGTCTGTCCATTATCCGTGAAGTAAAATACCGTGGAGAATTTTATTATCCAAATGTATTCGCATCTCGCCACCCTCGAATATCTCCACTTCGCAGAGGCCGCCATGTTTGCGGACTTTGAAGGCTGTTCTTCGAGGTTCCAGCCGTCGAGTTGCGAACTTTTCGATCCCAGAACCTGTTCCCAGGGACAGGTTTCTTTTATAAGAAACCACTATGTAGGATCTTGGAGAAGGGCTTTCAACGTCGCATCAATCGAGAAGTTTCTGTCTCTGTTGGAAAAAGTCGTGGCTCGGCCAAACAGCCTTTTTACCTGCAATCAGACCAAACTTCGCAGCAAGTTTGATCGACCCGCCATCACGAAGAATTCCTCCTTTTCTTTTTTTCTCCTATTTTTTTAATCCTTCCTCAGATTTTTATTTTCGTCTCCCAGAGAGCGTCTTTTTAATTCGGAGAGGTTTTCCTTCTCTTCCTCGTTTCGTTTCAACCTTTTTATACAGGCTCGATTGATTACCTCTTCCGATGTAATCTTGGGATTGTTGGGAAAGGAGTTTCTCCAACAGTTTGCTAAGATACACGAAGAACGATTTTCGAGTTTATAATCGGGTTTCGGATCGATTCGATTTAAAAAAAAGAGAAAAATAATATCGCGCGTATTTTTAAAATTTTTATATCTCTGTATTTTTAATTCATATCTATAAACGAGAGAGGAAGGAAAAAATAAAATTTTCCAACTTTAAAAAAAAAAATATGAAAAAAATTTTCATCCCCGAAATATAATTCGCCACGCGTATCTTCACGCTCCACAAACAAGGCGATAAATCCTTGATCAAATATGCCATTAGTCGCTCTCCATTTCTCCGTGTCCCATTTATTAAGCGGGAGGGAAAAGGATATTATGGGGGGGGGGGAAGGATGGAGAGGAAAAAAATAATCGAGCCGAGGTTAATCGCGACGTGACCGAAAACCGATCTCAATTTCTGTTTATTGACATAGAAACGAGGAGGGGAGAAAAAAAAAAAGGAAAAAGCTTATTCGACGGATTATA